CTTCCACATAAGTGATATCGCAGACAAGAAATAGGAGAGCCGAAGATGCTTCCTGTTTTTAGAATATGATTTTACAATCTTTCCATTTTCGGCCTTAGGCCATGGATTGGGTTTTGTGGGAAGTTCTTCCCTTTATTTAGTAAAAAACATATCGTTTGGTAGATGTTTTCTTCTGCTTCTGGATTGGTAGTGGGATTGGTAGTGTCTTCGTTGTGGGATTAGTGTTTAGGAGCCAGGCCCGTCTTATCGTGACCTCCCCTTACTCCACAATCCCACTCTATGGGTTTGGTATCTGTTTCTTTTGCGGAATAGTGCTTAGGTCCCGAGTCCCTCTGACCGTAACTCCCCTTACTCCACTATCCTGCTAGTTTGGTAGATGCCATCTTTGTGGGGTTTGTGTTTAGGTGCCAGGCCCGTCTTATCGTGACCTCCCCTTACTCCACTATCCCACTCTGTAGGTTTGATGTCTATTTTTTGCCGGAAAAGTGTTTAGATGCCGAGTCCGTCTGATCGTGACTCTCCCATACTCCACTATCCTGCCAGTTTGGTATAAATCCCCTATGTAGTTTAGTGTTTCGATGCCGAGCCCGTCTAACCGTGGCCCCCTCTTACTTCACTATTCTACTTAGTCCAACGTTGTCAATTAAGGCGTGGATTTGTTCGAAGATTTGCAGTTTCAGATCTGGTCTCGGGAAGAGTAAGTTCTTAGTGTTGAATGGTATGTTCTTAGTCTCCATCATTCTCACTAGTTCCCTTCTCTCCTCCTTGTATACCTCGCAGTCTACCAGGACATGGTTGGTGGTACATTCTTCTCCGCACTCACAGACGATGACTTGGTGTTTGTAGTCTTGCAGCCGCTCTTTCACCCTTAGTTTCGATATAAGTCCGCATATATCTCTTCTAGGGTGATTTATCGCTGTCTTCGTGTAGATTTTGTCATCCAGTCGGAATCTGTATGTGTCAAGTTCAACGAGTTTTAATTCCCAGAATGAATTCACCTGTCTTTTAACCATACTGTTGATTTCCGTGGTGCTGTAGTCTATGGCGCGGAGTGGTGCTGTGTCCTTGAGGCCTTCGTTGGCGAGTCGATCTTCCTCCTTGTTTCCTCTAATGTTGACATGTGATGGAATCCACACGAGCTCTAATTTGCTTCCCTTCTCTAGGACCCTCTGGTACAGCTGCCTGATTTCCATGTACACGTGGTCCCAGTCATCAGACGGCCAGTTGTCTTCCAGGTGTTCTAGAGAGAAAGCACGTGCAGCAGTGGGGTTGTTTTTCCTGTCGGTTTGCTGTAGTAGATCTAGATTGACCGGCGGTATAGGGAGCGTCCAAGGGGCGATTGCTGGGGGTCGTGTTCATTTATCACAAGCTCCCCCAGTCGCAGTTCCTTGATTATTTCCCTGATACCCTGGCCGAAGCTTTTCTTTCTAGGATCTCTCACATATCTTGTACTTTGTAGACTGACAAAAGTAGGGGATCTTTCGCTCAGTTTCGAGATCTTGGCCCAATACCTTGTCGCTAGTTCTTTTCTTCTTAGGGATAGGGGCAACTCCCCGGCTTCCTGTAGTAATGCCTCTCTCCTAGTTCCAAGTCCTACGCCAGTCGCAATACACAGAGCTTTGTATTGGGTGGTGTCAAGCTTACTTAACAGTTTTGGCGCGCAGTTCATGAAGGCCAAAGAGCCGTAGTCTAATACAGAGCGTATTAGAGCACGATACGCCATCATTAATGTAACTCTATTGGCACCCCACGTGCTACCCGTTATTTTTCTCATTAAATTTAGGATTTTGGAGCATCTATCTACAGTCAAGTCGATGTGCGGTTTCCAGGTCAGCCTTCGGTCAAAGATTACGCCAAGGAACTTGGTTTGGTCTATAAACTCGATGGTTTTCCCGTTCATACACAGAGTCCCACTATGTCTGCTCACAAGCATACCGACCGTTTTCTTCTCTGAGACTTTAAATCCCCAGTCGTTTGCCCATGTCATGAATTTGTCTAAGGCCTTTTGCATGTTCTTTTGCAGTTCACAAAAGCTTCCTCCCTTTCCTCCATATGGTACTGTCATCAGCAAATTTAGCTAAGTCAGTTCTGGCATCGAGGTAGGACGATTTCTGTATGTCAATGATCATGATATTGAAGAGGGTGGGACTGATGACCGACCCCTGAGGCGTGCCATTTTCTAATGTTTGCACGGCATTCAGGAATCTGCCAACATTCACCTGTATCCTTCTATCGCTCAGAAAGCTTTTGATCCACCGAAACATTATGCCCGTTATACCGATACGTCCCAACTTAAAAAGCAGCCCGTCTAACCAAACCAAATCGAAAGCCTTGGTCGGATCTACGAACACGGCACATAACAGGCACCCCGAGAGGAGTGCCTGCAACATAACTTGTTGTAGTCCCACCAAGTGGTCTATTGTTGATCGTCCTTTCCTGAACCCGCTTAGATTTTCGTCGATCAGTCGGTTACTCTCCAGATAGAACTGTAATCGGGTGTTAACCATTGCCTCCAAGGTTTTGCATAGTGTGGATGTCAAGCTTACTGGTCGATAGGACTCTGCCTTTGTCCTCTCTTAGCGTTATCACCCCATTAAGTATGCTTATATACATTACCATATTATTAGAAGACATGCTCAAAGACACTAACCAATTTATTGATGTTTTGATAGTATTAAAGGGGTATTGATAGTATGATTTTTATTAAGCCTTGGTGGTGGCTTCAGTCGCCGTTATATCTGTTAATAAGAGTGATAGTGAAGTCATTTTCAAAGGGAAATGTTGTTGTTATAACTCTTAATTATGTTTTTATTGTCTTACTCATGGATGTACTATAAATGTAGGTTGTTATTCATTATTGATCATTGCTCGATAAAGATACCTGTAAGAGTATTGAAACGTTGCATGTAATAAACCAAGAAGTAGTAAATCCATAAAATTGTGTTATTATGAATATTATACCTCTACTTCTAAATGTCATTTAAGGATACTTCATATTGTCTTATATATTTCATTAATCACATGTCTCCAGTATTCTTTGTTTTACACTTTAAATTGAGCTTACAAATTATAATTAACGTCCACGGACCATAGCGTCTTAGTTACCATGGTATGTTGGTTGTTTAGAATTTATAGGATTAATGCCCTAGGCGATGCATGGGGATTATAGACTCAAATTAATGGGTTAGACTGACGATTCTACAAACGGGTCATTTGGGAGAGCAAGTTAGATCACATTCCTTAGGACAGACCTTATTTACCTCTCTTTGGATATTTGGAGACACAAGTTTATGTCAATTCCCATATCCATATTGGAGCTTATCTATTATTAAGCATTGAGCCAATAATTGTTACATTAATTGTCTGCTGTAATTTATGTTGATTAATTGTCAACCATCGGATATAGTAATATTAACAACCAACAAGATTCCTGTCATCATTTAGTCAACAACGAGGATTCCAGAAAATACACAAGAATTACACTTGTACAGTAGGACAGTGGTTTATAAAATGGCGTCCACACTAGAATTAACCGTACATGTATGTCTAGAATTTCTCCTTTAAACACTAGATTTATGGAACTTGGAGTATTGTAATCCACAGAGGAAACAATTGTGAAGCTGCAATCACCACGAAGCACACTCTTTCAAACCCCTAATCTCGTGGTGGCCGAGGCTTTTAAAGAAAGAATATAACTACACAGTAAAAATTATTCATTTTTTATGTGGCCGAATTCCAGAGTTTAACACTTTTTTTTCTGTTAATCGATGGCTTTTTGGGGGAAAATGTGTTAAAAGTGTGAATTATTTTTTCAAATTACGTGATTTATGTATTTCTGTGGAATATTCAGTATTAAACAGGAAATTTCCGTGAAATTTATGGATAAAATGTTTTATTCCATTCTATAATGGACTTAATTCTGTTATTTTACGGGATAAACGTTGGAATGACTAGCAATTTACAGATTATTTCTGTTTGCAAATGCAACGATAAGTACTCGTATATACATATATATAATCATTCCTAATAATTATCAGGTTATAGTGTTCATTTCAATTCATTATTAACCAGAATAATGAAGAATCGTATTTTGTAAATTTTTCCATTATTTGCGTATACAGATTGTCTGCGATATCACTTCGGTGGAAGCGGACGTTAAATAAAGTATTTCACAGGCGCGTATGAAGTCAATGGTTAATTCAATGAAATTTTTTATCTTTTTCATGCTTAGGAAACAAAAATTACCAGGATTTTGTTTGTTTTTTTCTGTATTTGAAAAATGGAATTTATGGTAATTGAAGGAATTTCTGTAAATTACAGGAAATACAAATAAGGTTAAAATTTTCCTGGTAATTTTTGTTTCGGAACTTTTAAAGTTTTTTCACGGATTATTTTATTACAGTGTATAAGAATGAATCTTTGAATTTCACTATTTTTCAAAATTTGATCTTTGATCATAATAACCAGAATCACCCAAATCGGCAAATCTTTCAAAGCCCAAACACAATTTTACTGATTCGAGTTTTAATCTTATAAGTAAATTTGTGTTTTGGTCTAGGCTAACATACTAAAATATTACGATTATGTTTAAAATTATTCTTACTTTCATTTAGAATTCTCTCACTGGGGTCGTGGCATTCTTTATTCATTTGTTTCAGATAACGTTCAAATAATATCACCTCTGTTTTATTTCTCATTGCAGATAAAAATTGCCGTAAAATTTTTATAAATCTATTCCACAAATGATGCTGCAAAGACAAAATTTGACGTTGTTTCAGATCTGGTTAAGAACACTCTTGCATTGAATCTCAAGATCTATAATGTTAAAAAGGATTAGACACTCGATCTTTAACGCGTACACAATCGCCTGCTTTAAATGACGAAAACTTTATTTAATAACGGTACTTACCGTTTTTTTCTTGGTGACTTTCTTCTCTGGAACCCAAGACATATTATCATTCGATAAATTGATTCGACTTTTAATCAAATTCAAATCAGACTCTGACGTATGAATATCCTTTATTTCAGCATTTGCTGGAAAACTTTCCAAATAACCTGGATACCTATATTAACATTTAGTTACAAATATTTATTGTTGGTGTAAATAATTATACTTATTGCAAAGAACGGATTTCACCCACATAAGACTTCACTATCTGATCATATCCTTTACCCTGTCAATACAAATGTAATTTGAGATGCATTTCCTATACGGTCGATATTCCAAATACGTAACCATATATTTAAGCGAACAATTATATCTGTTATTTACCAAACACATAATAATTATCTTAGTTCTTACGAGATACGTCAAACGATGTTGATCTTGCAACAGGAATCTGACCTTCTATCCGTATATATATATGCATATACCATACTCAATCAGACAATATAATATAATAAAAAAGAACAGGAATGCAATGTCTGTTGAAGCCTCGATTTTACCTGCTCTCGCTTCGGCTCGTTTTTTTCAACAATTCGTAATGTCAGGCACACTGTAAATAATATTTGTGTATTTTTACTGTAAACTAACTGGCAGAAAGTTGCCAGTAAATTGACTGTATTTTAACACTGACTTGTAAATTTACACCTAAGTGGTAGATTTAGATTTACAAACAGCATGTAAATTTACAGTGAGTGTATGGTTGTATGGATATAATCTTACGTAAGCTTTGTATTCATATGCATTTACATCGTTTTAAATGTCAATTAACAAACTACGTGATATTACAAATCGGAAACTGTATTTTAAGTATACTTATAACTGTTAATATACATATAATTTTAACAGTTTGATAGGGATCTTTTACGTGCTCTCCAACGACTAGACGACTAAACAGCTATCCTTGTCAGACCATCCGTCCTGCATCAATGACAAGGGGGAATCACGCCGCCGGAAAATATGGATGAACTTTCTCGGCCAATGCAGGGATCGAACACCCGACCTCCAGTCTAGCGAGCCAGCGTCTTACCCTCTTAGCCACCGTGACCCCCTCTATAGTATAGACGAAAATTAATGATGCTTTAAAAGGTCTATCAATGTTAAAGTTCTAAAGAGATGTAGAATTACACGTTTCCTGTAATTGTACACAAATCCCACATTTAAACATGTTTTAATAATAGAATTACCCATAAAACAGTCAAAGTACAATATATATGTACTTTTAACCAACATAGTTGTATCAATACAGATTACATGTAATAAATAAAATTCAGTTCTAACTTGTAAAACTACACTTTTATTGTTAATTTACCATTTTTTTTTTTACAGTAATCCCATGTTACCTCACTAATACAGTAAATTTATAGTATAAAAACATGCAGTGGTATTTTTTACAGCGTTATGTTAAAGAAATTACATTATTTTTACTGTAATTTTACATCTATTTTTAACAGTGCAATCTAACCTGAAATGAAATGAAATGAAATAGGGTTTAACGTCCTACTGTTCTGCTCCTATACTGGGCTAATGAAGACGGGCATACGCCATACAGTGTGCTATGAGGGAAATTTTGCATGGAGTCGATGACAAACGTTAACGAACGAAAATAATGTAAATATTGGAAACAAGTGGCTATGACATCGTTTTGTAGGGAGTATTTATGCAAATCAAAACGGCTAGCTTGAAGAAAAAACATATCTGCGTGAATCAACAGAGGTTGTTTGATTGCCTGACATTACGAATTGTTGAAAAAAAAACGAGCCAAAGCGAGAGCAGGTAAAATCGAGGCTTCAACAGGCATTGCATTCCTGTGCTTCTTTTATTATATATTGTCTAGTTGAGTATGTAGATAACAAACCTCATCTCTCAACCCTCCGTGTTTCGAGATAAGAGATGGTCCTATGTAGTCCCACGTAGCAAATCCCAACGCGAATCGCATCGTGCATCTGTAAGCACTATAAGAACGCCATTTTTAAACGGGAGATGAATGACGGTGTATGTCGGATAAAAACAACGCTTCATTAATTTAAACGCGCGATAGTTGTGCCACTCATTGGCCTCTGTAAGTTTAATTGGTCATAATAGTATACAATTGTCTTATTTTTAAGATGTTACGTGCATTAATAAAGAAACTGAGTTTGCCACTTGGAAATAAAGGAATCCAATCGTAGCTAAAAACAAACACATCAGTATATCTCAACGTTTTTAGCTACGTTCTCCACTTCTCGTAGCTAGTTGAGTATGGTGTATGCATATATATATATACTCTTCAAAAAAAAGTAGGGGATACTCAGAAACAATACAAAACTGCGGAAATGCACTGCTGTTTTTATTAGAGGTAACCAGTGTATGTTAATAACAGGCCAATTGCCTACACATGAACATAAACAGTTCATTTGGGCGGCTTATCTGACGGCCCCATTTCACTCGCAAAGAGATACACCGTCAAAAGTAAAAATGGACGTTTTTGATTTTTGTCTTAATAACGAGTAATTGCTCCACTAATCCTTAGACATTCAGCAATTCGTCGTGGCATGCTCCTAATCAACCGTTCAATCACGATTTGGGGCAATCTGACCCACACCTCTTGCAGAACCACGGCCAATTCTTGCAGTGTTGTCGGTTGACGTTGACGTCGACGAACACATCTCCCGATCAAATTAACGTAACACGCTAAAGCAAAGATATGCTAAACAGTAAATCTTATGCAAGAACCGATAGGGAAGTAAACATGGATAGATAAACTAGCACGCGGCAGTTTTCATCAACCCTTCCTTGAAGTGTCAAATTTGACAATGAACCCCTCCCACGTGTATATGGCGCTATTGCATGTCGCAGGTGCAGCTCAGGGGTTTTGTTAGGGCGATAAGTTCTTCATCTGTGAACATACTCTCAAAGCATGCCAAGTGTTCACGACTATTTATCATATCACAACCTACATAGGTATTTGCATTTCAATATCCCCTACTTTTTTGACGAGTATATATACGATTAGAAGGTCACATTCCTGTGATTTTACAATCTACCAATTCTAACGTAGTTGTCATTTTATAACAATACCATGCACCGTGAAATTTACTTGAGTGAAGGTACATAATATGTCAAAGGTAGACAAAAGTCTGATTCATAAAATACAAGTTACTGAATTATAATTACCATTTCCTTTCCATCATGCGAAATATACAACTTTGTGCACATAACAACATTCCTGGTGACGCTTTACTGACAGAAGATAACATTTTAATAATGTCATCTTTACTGTCTAATGCTTCACCTAAATTATGAACAGAAATTGAATAAAATGAAATTAAAATTATGTCTTAATATGTCTATGTGGTGTTATCATAAAGGCGCAACGCGGTAGAAGATCAATAAACATTTTCCATGTTGAAATTTAGAAAAATAAAATACGCGCTTCAGTGTGTTCTTTGCTTAGTAATTTGGGTGATTAAAAACGCAGGTGAGATATCATATTGGCTTTCGTGTTGGTAGCTATATAAATTATATTCTTTAAGTGGCATTTAGTAACTGGGCAGATAAATAAACTATAAACATACTTATGGAAAACAGCTACTGATTTATAAATCAGTAGCTTTTTTCCATAAGTATGTTTATAGTTTATATATAAATTCTAGTTCAGACATTACAGCAAATTAAAGATGGCGAAACGTAAGCATGGGTCTGAAAGTCTATTTTTGACGTTTACATGTATTCTTGAATATTGAGCATTAGCTTACATAACTATTCTATAAATATTCTTCAAGGTGCAAAACAGTAAAAAATACAGACATAAGCCAAAGTACCATGGGATTACCATGATGCTGTATTTATGATTTATAAACAGGAACTCGTCATTAGATTTAAATAAGGTCTTACCGTGATTGGCATGTCTGCCAAAAAATCTCCTAAAGATTTGATTTGCTTTCAACTGACAAGTTTGGGGTTGCATAGTGCGTTTCATATCTTCTACACATTTCCAAAACAATAAAGGTTGCAAAGCTTTTTCATTTATTAAGTAAAGACGAAAAAATTCAAAATGCTCTCTGGTCGACAAGACCTCCATAAAACTTCTGCAAAATACAAAATACAGTCCATAAATAAATAAATAAGAAAAATGGGATCGTTGATATTTTATGATCGCAAATGCAATTGAACAAACAATCCATAATCCTATAACAGAAGATGTAAGGATTTCAGAATCTCCCGAAGACAAGTTTCTCCAGAGTTTTGGTTGATTTATAATATTCAAGTCTTACCTTGGTTTAGTGGGTTGAACTAACATGGTGCCATGTCTCCGTAGTAATCTGCCATCTCTTCCTTTGAGACTGGATATGCCTTCTAATTCTAAAGCGTCATTCAACTCCTCTTCATCTACTAGCATTTCAACTTTCTTTGAAACTTTCATCGCCTCAATTTTTACTTTTTGGGGATGGACTAAATTTTTTAACCACTCTGTAAATACATTAAGGGATTATAAAGTTTATGCGTAAATAATCCATGACTTTGGGTAAAAATTGAAACCGCCCAGAATTGTTCTGCAAGGGGCAATAACTATAGCCAAAGATCTGTCCTTTAAGAACACAGTTCATCTCTGATCATTTCCCCAGTATCAAAATATTACTAAATAATTTATTTTGTTTACAAAATGCACTGACTGAGGAATGCTTTGACGAATGAAATTATGTGTAATTGTTTTACATTCTTAGGTATAAATGATACCATCATGAGACAAATGCCGTGATAAAAAAGATAAATTATTGTCTCTATACATACATAATTTCATTAAAAATACATGTAATGTATTACAAATTAATGTATTTCAAATTATAATATGTAGGTACATGTATATTATTGTTCAACATAGAGGATGATAATATTACCTTGATAAACAGGTTGATCTAAATAACTACACAAACTACCAAATGGAGTTTTCATTGTTCGCCATATATTTAATGGACTATTGTATGTGGAACCATCTGCATCTAAATATGAAGAATTTAGAATCGACATACAAATGTTGAGTCATTAATATCAAAATTATTTTCTATCCAAAACAATAAGACGTTAATTTAAAAAAAACCTGATTGTCCAAAATAAGTCAAGAGAAACAAACGCTATGGAATAAATACCCGATTTGGCTCGGTTTCGTGAGCATGTGCCTTGAGTGAAACCCCAATGATTACCTATCTATTTTGTTACCGACATTCATATATGGATCTTATTTAATAACAGTTGAGAATTGATTTATCTAGTTGCTTCATTTTTGTTTTCATTTTCATTGTTCCAGATTGCCCACCTATAATAACGCTCGTATTAGGCTTACTGAGTACCATATTTTATATTATGTGAGTTTACAATTTTACTTGCAAAATCTTTTTTTTTATGAAATGAACCTGTTCAAGAGTGACATAAATGGGGGGGGGGGGCATTGTAGGCCTTTGAGATCTCAGCCTCTTATTTAAGTTATATGTGATTGGGTCCCATTCTAATTTTGATGATTTGCAAACTGAATTTATATACATACTTACTGCCGTACGATAATAATATAGCATATTCAAAGCTTCTGAAGCTCGTCGCATCACAAAGTTTAGTTGTCATTGCTTCATTAACAGATGATTGCCACTTTAAACTTTCTTCTGGTGAATTGGATTTGTCTTCCATTAGCATATCGTACGGTGTTTTAGATTGGTCGAGGTATACAGGACTGGAGCCCGCCTCACCTGTGGTAAGAGTTGGTGACGTATCGGTACTATGGTGTATGCTGGCGTAATAGTTTAGCCGTTTACTACACTATTTAAATTGAACGTATGAATATTAGAGAATACATGGCGGTCGATTAAAGATACATTATAGGAGATTAGATAAAGAGTTGGCAGTTCTCACTATAATAGTTAAAAAACTAAATAATGTAAAGGGAATTTGCTGAAACTTTTTGTCAAATTGATCGAATTTGAACCAAGATTTTAGCGATTGAATTTTAGGCCTAGTCTTGATCATCATTACTAAACATAGTTTCGATTATCCATTTCATGATTAAATCATGAATGAAAGTTGAGCAGCAAATGGGATCCTAATCCAGTAAATATCGCAGGCTAGCGTTGACATCGAGAGTTGATAACGGACTGGATAAGTTAATTAATATTTAATTAATAATTTAGATAACATTTCAGGCTTAAAGAAAGACCTGCAATAGACAGATTTAGCTATTGCATAATGTATGTTTAAATCGGAATGGAGTATGATTTCAAGCTCTTAGAACATTCGGGTCAGTTATATTTATATTTTACGGTACTAGCCTACTACAGTCAACAAATTTTATAGTATTAGACTTAATGGGTTTTTTTACACTTACAGAAGCTGTAACAAACTTTCTTCTATCATATCTGATGAATTTACGCCAAGCCAGATGTAAAGCCTTCAATAGAAGTATTAATATATATATATATATATATATATATATATATATATATATATATATATATATATATATATATCGCTATTTTAAACACTTATAATGATCAAATAGCCTAATAAAATGAAACAATTCATCAACATTACTTACATTGCTGATTAAATATTTGAGTTTCAAAATATGTTAGAAACTGCATCTCAAAAAGCGTTTCTTCTGTAATTTTCAATAATAACACCAAGAGTTTAAACTCAAAAAGATAAAATAATCACAAAGTTAACTTGGTTTAATTATTACCATTAACGGCAGAGATATAGAGAATCCCCTACGAGTCTTTTTTGACAGCAATTCAGCCATTGCAAAGTCCTTTATATTGACCCAGTGTTTCAATCGAGGTCAATTAAATAACAATAGTTCATTTTTAATAATAAAAAAAAGTTACTTTTAATAAGAAATGAACTGTTCTTTGAAAATAAAAAAAAGTAGATTCTTTTCAACTGACCAATCAAATTCGTGTAAAGCGATATCTCCTAAGGAGATATCGCAGTAGATTATGAAATATATTTCACAAGCGATATCTACTGTAGAATGTACTATTGGGTGATAAATCTCTATAAGTAAACATATAGGTAAACTTACACTTGAAACAAGATCATTTGCTGCATATAACAATGATTCGTCATTCTCTTCTGATAAACTTTTAATTAAAGCTAATTTTAGGCTTTCACAGAATATTTCATTTTCCTCATCATTTGACAACAGATATCTTTCGACTATTCTTTGTGCAAATTTTTGTTTTATGAATAATACGTTTTCTTGTTCTAGTTGGTTGTAATAATGAACATCATTCCAGAATGATAAACATCGATTTTCAAGGGATAAGCCTTTCGATCTTAAAAACTTTCGAAATGGGAATCCGGCTAGGTGATCTGAAGCTATTCCACACAATACTTTATCGCTAACACGTATTTCAAGTGGTGCCACGACCCTACAACCATAGATAAAATGTTTTATAAGAAGTGGCATTGTTTCTTGTTTTGGTCGTTCGATACTGGACAAGGTGGTGCTACTGATACTGTTCTCGGCTATGTTAGAATTAGATGTTATTTCTAATAATGTACTGGCTGAACCCATAAATAAGGTTGGGTTGTATAAATTAGAATTGGTTTTCTCACTGGGACTTGTTGTTAAACTATCTCTGGTGTATATAGAATCATCAGGGCTTGATAAACGTTCTTCTACAGAAGACTTGGCGTCGAGTCTCATACCTAGTGGAAAGACATTATACAGAGCGGGCCAAAAAATCTTACCCATTCTGAATGTTACCCTCTCTGATCGTACACTATTTTTTTTTTTAAATGTGAATACTCTAATGATTGTTGTCAGAAAGGGGTCACAGAAGCATGAGTTTTTATTGGATACTAATAGTCTCATATTTTGTCATTATTTTGAACACGGTTCAATAATTAATGACATACTCAATCCATGCACCCCTTCTCTGGATTACAGTTGCTACGCTCACATTGGAGTTTGTATATCGAGTGGAATCCTCCGAATTTCATGTCGAATGTTTGCCTGCGGGCCTCAATTGTTTCCGGATTTGTTGTTGTAGACTCCCTCTTTCAAATAGCACCAAACGAAATAGTGACAAAATAGGTGACTATTAGTATCCAATAAAAACTTCAGGCTTCTGTGACCTTTTTCTGAAAACAAATTATCAAAGTATTCACATTTAAAGAAGTAGTGTACAATCAGAATGGGTAACATTTCTTGGCCCACCCATGCGACAGCAAATTTCAGTTTGAAAATGACTCACTAGTTCTGGATAGTATCACTTTGAAGAAGCTGTGAATAGTCAGAAGTAACACGTCTGACTGCCAATAAACCTACCTCCACACAATGATAATAGATCTGTAATTGTTGTTTGACCATCTTTATCCTCCTCTTGTGTGGTGGTAGCAGCTGCCTCAGTTAAATAATTACTGTCATCATAACAAGACGATGTTGTAATAGAATCAACGTCTGTCTCATCACCATCAGTAACAGATGGAAATAGTTTCCTACATTTTAAAAATTGTTGTATATTGGCTACGTCAGTTTCTGTAACGGAATCTTTTTCAAATAATTCCTGGAAAAGGGAGTTGAGAGGCTGTTGGATTAACTGGAATTTTATGAAGGGCGGGAGAACCACACTACGCATAACAACAAATTAGAAGACAAACTCTACATACGTAAATCGACGTGATTATAAAAATATGAATTATAGCAAATCCAATCGTGGTAAAGAATTTAAGTAAGATTTAAAACTCTCATGTTGTTTAGTCATTTGCCAGTGGAATAATCTTTAATATTTTCTATGTTAACCCGCCCTCTTGCATGACGTCAAAAATAACTTTCAAAGACGCCGATATTATTGGGGAATACTGACTAATTTTGGCTTTGTATAAAATAATTGTCCAATAATTAATGTATAGAAATAAAATGAAAGGAGGTGTAGAGTTCTACTTTCTGCTCCAGCCGGGCTAATGAAGCAGCCATACATTGTGCTTTGGGTGAAATTTTATCCAGCAGCGGCGTTTTCGTGTATTTTTCATCGAACTCGACCATGGCTCTAACAGATGTATAGTGTATCTACCTGTAATTTTGGTGTAGGTAAACTGTTGATTATATGTATGATATATCTAGGTAACCAGTACCGTGTTAAAGCTCGCAGTAATAAGGTTTGTAGGGAAATAAACGTATCTAAAGTGTCCGTGTCAAAGTTGAAATCAGCAAACCGCACTTTGACATCAACAGCACTGAGCATGTGTTCATCCTCTTCGGGGATTATTTGAAAATTTAGAAAACCTACAAAGGAAGAAAAATATATACATGTTAAACGAAGATGAAACCGTACCCGCATCCCCGTTACAATTGATAGCATCGAAAATATTGAGTTTATTGAAGTTGTCCCTTTAAACTCCAGTGAATCTCAAACCTCTATCCCGGAGCCAACCGAAAAAGTTGTAAAATCCCCACCCGAAACACTGTGTGAAGATGGAAAAAAAAAACAAAAAAACAAATGACGAACCATGATAAACAACTTCCTTATAGTTCTCAGCTAATTCCTTATCAGCACCACTTATCAAATATGTCTGCTTAAATCTGTTTATTTCATATCTTTTGTCTTCCACAGAGGCAATACGGTGTATTTTTTTTGCGTCTAGCCAGCACTGATAGACCTTCTCTCCGTGGGTTCCCTTTAAAGCTTCTCGAAGTAATTGCATCCCCATCACATGTCCTAGTAAATTCCTTATAAAGTTTTTGGAAGCATCTGGATCATCCATGCTTACTGCGAAGTAAATAAGGAAAATTAAATGTAATTCATGAATAAAATGAAAAAGAAAGTCAAATGATGAAATTGACAATGAATGGTTATTGTGTTGCAATTGATGTTACACTTTGGTGACGTGCTATTATAAGGAAGAAATAGTGTTAAGCATCGCCTCGGACATTTTGAGATTAACAGATGGTTAATTTTTATTTACCACTAGCTAAGTTACCCTACGCTGCCCGAAGGTAATGGGCCAGTCTAGAAAAGTACCTTTATTATAAGATCTTTAACAACCCAATAATCATAAATTGTCAATTTCATCATTAAATATTGCACCAAATTGAAAATAAATAGCACCATTAAAAACTGGTTAGTATGAAGTTATTTAAAAATTTATCAGTTCGGTAACAAACGCAAAAACATACATACAAACAAACAAACGTTATCTTATCTCTCATGATTATATTATTAACTCATCAGTATTTCAAAACAAACCGAATCAATTTAGTCCAGAGTCGAATGACCTAGCCGCTCAACTGTTTATCTATATCTGTTCGTTTTCTTTTTGTTTTAGCTTGTTTTATTGGTATACTTACACGTATCACCCTTGCCGGTTGATTGAAAAACTAAAGCTACATGTTGTAGTTTACAGCATAGAAGATATTCTAGATATAGATCTGTATTACAGAACAGTGAATATCTTTCTGTATATAACCACTGTAATAGTCTTTTTCTGTGGACAAACTGGAAGAAATAATATTATACACTAGCAGGATACCCGGCTTCGCTCGGGGGTCATAACTCCGAAACCGGAAGTGGTAGACTAACGCCACCTGGTCTATGTTACTCCCCGGTCCGAGCTACCCCTATACCCCAAATTTCAGACTCGGGGCAGACCTAGTGTAGCCGCCAACCCCGAACAGACCGGCTTCGCTCGGGGGTCATAACTCCGAAACCGGAAGACTAACGCCACCTGGTCTATGTTACTCCCCGGTCTGAGCTACCCCTATACCCCAAATTTCAGACTCGGGGCAGACCTAGTGTAGCCGCCAACCCCGAACAGACAGACAGACAGACAGACAAGCGACAGTCACAAATATATATATGTTACAGTCAATGTCTACAATCAGGCAATGTGTACAATGCCTGAAATAACCAGTCAATGTGTACATTGCCTAATGAGGCCAGTCATTGTGTACATTGCCTAAAATTTCCAGGCATTGTGTACATTGCCTGATTAATTAGCCCAATTATTGTACACATTGACTGATTGTTGAAGAGCGATTATTGAGAAGACTAGATTGCCACAGATTTCGTTCTGTGATCACATAGGCTTCTTTTCATATAAAAGATACTTTAATAGGTTCTTTGTGGGTTATCATATGTTACAGTCAATGTCTACAATCAGGCAATGTAAACAATGCCTGAAATAACCAGTCAATGTGTGCATTGCCTAATGAGGCCAGTCATTGTGTACATTGCCTAAAATTTCCAGGCATTGTGTACATTGCCTGATTAATTAGCCCAGTTATTGTACACATTGACTGATTGTTGAAGACCGATTATTGAGAAGACTAGATTACCACAGGTTTCGTTCTGTGATCACATAGGCTTCATTTCATATAAAAGATACTTTAATAGGTTCTTTGTGGGTTATCATTTGATTTAAAAATGACTGATTTTAAAAATGACTGATTTTAAAAATGACTGATTTTAAAAATGACTGATTTTAAAAATGACTGATTTTAAAAATGACTTTGAAAATAAAATGACTTTGAAAATAAAATGACTTTGAAAATAAAATGTACTTCATGATTAAATTGACTTTAAAATCAGTCATTTTTAAAATCAGTCATTTTTAAATCAAATGATAACCCACAAAGAACCTATTAAAGTATCTTTTATATGAAATGAAGCCTATGTGATCACAGAACGAAACCTGTGGTAATCTAGTCTTCTCAATAATCGCTCTTCAACAATCAGTCAATGTGTACAATAATTGGGCTAATTAATCAGGCAATGTACACAATGCCTGGAAATTTTAGGCAATGTACACATTGACTGGCCTCATTAGGCAATGTACACATTGACTGGTTATTTCAGGCATTGTACACATTGCCTGATTGTAGACATTGACTGTAACAATAACTTATATAGAAGATAGATTCAGTCTCTTTGTTTTTAAAGTAGTTCATGCACAATGCACAATGGAATTATTGCTATTCAAGTTATTCACCAAATAACGCCATTTTAAGCGATTTTAATTGCAAAAAATGAAACAAAAACGTGTTATAAAATTTTAAAAAAAAATGAAATTGTTCGATACACTTACATCCCTCTGACGCCTGACAGATGGACAAAACTCAAAATCTCTTTCGATGACATCATATATGACTCTTTGCCCAAATACCTTAAAATAATAAAATTTTGACATTAGTAAATCGAAACCATCAACAACAGCAAAATTGTCAAAATATCATTTCTTTTCATTCTGGGTTATCAGATTCCTTGACAAGAAAGTACATTTTAAGGTAGCACAGACGACCCGCTCGATATCGTCTTTAACCCCCGGGCGGAGTAGGTGGTTCACCTTCTTAAAAGATATATTGGGTATATTCCAAATTTATTTTTTACCGGTAAGGACAAGTATACATTGAAATAATCAGTAAAGGTTCTATCTTCAACCAATAATTCAAAATCTTCTAAACGTGGTGGATCTTTCTCTGTAATAGAATGAATTAAATATTGTAAAAATACTATAGACAACTTTGTTTTATTGAAGAAGTCGTCTCAGATATATACGAAATGCAATCATGACTGTGTGAAACACTCTTTCCCTCGTCGCTTATACCCCCGTAGCTATGTGATAACTTGCCAAAGACATAAATAAAAATTTCCCAAACTGATAGCTATACCCTTGTATTTGAATAACAATGTAATGAATTAGATTATCGCTAGATTTTTGGTGGCAAACATTGTGGCAGGGGTGCTGCAGAAGCTCAAATTCCATTGGATTTGTTTCTGGCTTGTCGATAGGATGGACTTTATTAAGCTAATTTTGAAGCAAAATGCTCTCAAAACTTTCTCGGGTGATTCGCTCCCTGACTCCGAAAGGATGTTTTTTCTAATACCTAGGGGTAGAATTGCAAATGGTTTTAAGAGCAAAATATTTTCTTAGGTCTATTGGCAACATAATGATCAATATTTGCCGTGGAATGCGTTTGCAGGGGCACCGAGGGCACAAAATATAAAATCTCGATGGGTAATAGATTTTAAAGAAGGATTTCAAATCTTCAAAATGTTTTCGTGGTCTTCACTCACTTAACCCTGAAATCAGTGAAAGGATGCTTCTACTATAAGTTATAAGGGCATAACTGGTTCAAACTCGCACACATTTTTGGGGAGTTACTGACAATAGAATGATAGAAATTTGTCTCCTCGGGAAGATTTGCAAGGGGTGCTGAAGGCGTGAAAAATGAGTCGTCAATGGGGAATATAATTCACAGTCATTTGATTTTGCTCTTCCTCAAGTTCCTGCATCAGTTATTAAACCCCACTAGTGCGCCATTCCTATCCCCTCACCCCCTCTTCTACCCCTTGCTTGCCGCGGTGTGATTGTCGCGTCTATCAGTTCAATTCGGGGCTGGCTAATTGTGCCATTTAGAATTAGAGTTGAAACAATACCTTCATACCTGTTATGTCAAGTTCCCTTTCAAGCAATTTGGCCTTGTCTTGGAGTATGTCCACCATGTCGATCATAATCGTATGACGTAATAAACACTATATTCCGTCAAAGCCTATAGAGAGAGATACGACTTTGTATTCCGAAAACTAATTACGTCACTAACAGTAGGTGCGGGAGGATCGCACTACACTTAGAACAAGAGAAACCTGCGGACAAGACAAACTACATACAGCAAGAAATAAACAACAGATATCAAATTTCGATGTCTGGAGGCTCGATCACTGGAAATTCCAAACTCTTCGCGTCATACATTTTAATTTTTTTTTTTTTTTTTTTAAGTAGATCTACTTGATAACGAAAGTTTAAACTTTACCCGTGTACGATGTCGACATACTAGGCTACCTTTTCCTTCAAGGAACTAATATTACGCTGAGTAGAACGAGTCAAGGCGTTCAATATAAATTTGGGCATTGTCTATAAGGCATTTAACTTTCTTAAATCAGTGTATTATTGCTGAAAATTATGAAAAATCTTTTTAAATCTGGCAGAATATAAAATAGAGTTCCTTAAAGCTGATGATCGTCATTTGCATTTATCGGACAACTTTCACGATATTGTTACTATTGTAATTTGCAGGGGATTAAAAAATGAAAACAGCAACAACCTCAAATGACGATCAGAGACGTTGGGTTTCGACAACGAATAACCGTTTCTGTGTGGCGAGTTGGTTTGTATCGGAGTTCAGACAAAGAAGATCATTATTAAAATTCCGCCCGTCCTGAGTTTTATAATGATATCAAAGGACATCTAATGGCGGTCTGTTTCCAGAAGAATATTCATGAGAGTTATCTTTATCTAGTACTAGTTGATTACATAGGTGTTATTGATCTTACAAACTTTTAAGAAGGCTGCGACTTCTGACATGTGATATGTTTTTTTTATTGGTTTGATATCGTACCGTAACCTAATAATTTTAAAGGAATTATAATAAGAAGTGTATAAATAATGCATGCGAAATAGAAACAAGTCATTCTCTGAAATCTATTATCAATACGCAATACCGCTAGCCGATCCTTCACTTGTTATTGAGAATCAAGTTCACCTTATTGTTCACGTTTTTTTTTGCCATGCAAATAAATCGAAAGAAAGATGATCATCAAGTTAAAATGGACATTTTGCGTTTCCATTATTTTTGCGCTGTGTTTTGTATTATATATCGGCAGTACAAGAAGCCAACGTATCCATCAAATCGGAGACAAACAGAATGTTGATTTTGAAACTGTTCACAGAAAAGTTAGAGAGAGCGGAGAAAAACCAAAGACTGAGGATAGGCCTACCCTCAAGTCAACAACTATTACCACCAGAAGAGTGTTTATCAATGCACCCCCAGAACCCGTCTTAAATAATAGGTAGATCTATCAGTTTCATTTTATATTGTTATTGACTAGATCATAATATGTAACAGGCATTGTCTCAGTAGAGTGAAGCTGAGTGATGATAGGCTATGTTGTCAAATTTTAAACCTTCATCACATACACAGTAGAATCTGTATTAATAAGTAGCTACTCAAGCGAATTTGCATCACTGACCGCTTAACAGGAGTGACCTCTTAATAAAATCTCAGTGTTTGTTAGTGCTGACATCAAGTAATTTTTATGCTTGGATGCATTGCCATTGGGAGCAAACGTGAATACTTGCACGGGCAAATTTGGCTGTCGCTGAAACTTGCTTGGAACGAAAATTCTTTGACTCAAATCTCTGATATAACTTCTGTAACAGTAAACGTGTCATTTTGTACCAACTGTCTACCATTGTGATGTATTCAATAATATTGATCCATTTTTGTGAAGAAAATCCATGAATTAATTTTATTGTGTCGAAAAAGCAAATGATGTCCAAAAAACATTGCTGAATTTGTCACCGATTTTCAGGGGGTGTAACTCTGTAAGTAATATATGAGGCGCTAAAACTTCTGTGTAGCAACAAAGTGGCAATGGAAAATCGATACTAGATGATCGTGACAAAACTTGGCTTTGAGGGTACTTTTAGTTTACATACTCAATCAGTATCAAATAATGTTTCTCGTTATGTGTGAAAACAATGATCAGCAGATCAGGGTTTGTCATTAAAATTTAATAAAACAAAAAATTAATTAACAGATAATCCCGGGTTTATTGTTATTTTCACAGTTCTTTTTAACAGGATTAGCAGAGTTGCTACGAAGTTAACGAAGTACGAGGGTGTAAATGTATTACGGGTAGATAGGAAAGTGGTACAGATGATTCAGAAAAACATAGCTAAAAGACGTTCCTGTGACGTAATATGGCCAATAATTTGCATAAATCCAATATGGCCACAATTGAAACTTAAAACTCCAATATCTCGGGATTGGTTTAAGGGACTATCCCAACTTGAACAGCGTCTAAAAAATAAAAGTATGAGTACTATGAAATTTAAGCGCCAAAATATAGAGGAATGCTATATTTACCCTGTCCCAAAATTTAAGCTCAGAATATTGAGTTGTTTGGACGTGAACGTCAAAACTGCTTATCCGGACACGTAACCCTTTTAAGATTTCAGTTCAGTTTTTTTGATTGGGTGACCTGATAATCGATTCCCGTTCCTTTAGAGGTCTATACAGTGAATGACCTATGTGCTGTAGTTGACAACGAAAGGTAAATTTCACCTACACATTATTTTTATAAAATAAAAGTCTGGTTTTATCCAGACACCGGTCTCCAATTCCAGATTAAGACTAACAGGTTTAAGTTGTTTGAAAATGTATTACGTATACTGAGTTAGTTGCTCGGCCCTAAGGTATCGGATTTTAAGGGATTTTAACACAAAATTAATCAGTTTTATTCTCCAAAATATATTCGGGATTGACCGTTTAAGTTTGGAGGATGTAAATGTATTACGAGTAGATAGGAAAGTGCTACCAAAGAACTAGAAAAACAATGCCAGACGACTTCCTTGTGACGTCATAACGTCATACGGCCAACAATTAGCATAAATCCAATGTGGCCGCCATTGGCACCTTAAAACTTCAATATCTCAGGAATGGATGAGTTTGGAGGGTGTAAATGTATTACGGGTAGATAGGAAAGTGTTACTAAAGAATCGGAAAAACATTGCCATATTATGTCACCAGGACGTCGTAACGTCATACGTCCAATAATTAGTATAAATCCAATATGGCCACCATTGGAACCATAAACATCCAGTTTCTCGCGGATGGCTGAGTTTAGAGGGTGAAAATGTATTACTTGTATCATCTTGTCAAACAATTCATATATATCTTGAATATCTATATACATGTCGTCAGTTTGTAAAGGTTTTAACAGGAATATTGTACTTGGTTTCTGATAGACCTGGATTTCAATTATGGACCGTACAATTCTTCTGCTAGCAGTTCTTCTTTATTGACGATTTCAGGGACTTTAGTATCAAGTATGCAATTGGTTCAGGTTTATGCGAATCGTTGACTATGAATTTAAATCTTTAAATTGGCGTCAGGTGAATTAGTTAACAAACTTGTCTGGTCTAGTTCTGGAGCGTCTGTCCATGTGTCTCTAGAAGGTCGTTCAATGTAATACTTTGGTCCTTTAACTATTTATTGGATATTACATTCTATAGAGTCAAATCCCATGTACTAATGAAGTGGAATGATATTTTTATATACATTATAAAAAAAAGAAATCAGTGATATTTTGGTAAGATCCTTACCATTGTCAAAACATCCTATCTGTTTATGACATGTGGTTGATCCTTGATAGACCAAATACGGTAATGTGCTCCCCCTGGTTTGGGGTAAATTGGGGTGCTTATTCCATATTTGGGAAGGAAATCAACGCCTAGGTCAGTCAATGGCGTGCAGAAATTAGGGAGTTATAAAAGAGGGTGTTGAGTGAAATTGAGCAAATTTCACCCTGATATTCTTAGCAGCTATCATCAATGCTTTATTGAAAACATGAACATAGAAACCTTGCAAGCAGTTTAATAGTAAAGCTGTAGAAACGAACTAACCCGTAGTTTTATTTTACGATCACAAAGGAAACACAACAAGGAAGTCTGACATTACTACATGGTTACTGCTTTAATTTCAAATAAGAGGTACAGAAGTCGTATGCATTCAAAGTACCGATCAAAAATCCTGGACTATAAATATGATGTAGCTGTATCGTGAACGCTGAATGAAATAGGTCTAAAATTGCTTGGGGTATCGCCGCTTTTACCAAACATAATAATAATATTAATAATCGTTTTCTATAGCGCTGAACATTCAGTCAAACTGCTCTGTGGCGCTTTACAACGTAGATATGATTATAAAAAACATACATATATATACAAATAAACAAAAGAATACAAAGGAATATTCAAGTTACTGCATACCAATGGAAAGTGAAGTATTTAAATTATAGTTTTAAAGTTTGGGTAAAAAAACGGGTTTTTAGACGTCGTTTAAATATAGCCTATATTTTGGACTTCCAGAGGCAATTTGTTCCATTCTTTTGGTGCTGCGTACATAAAAGCTCTCTCACCAAATTTTGACTTATGTACTGGACATACAAGTTGGGTTTTATGAGATGAACATACGGATCGAGTAGGCACATATTGTTTAATCAAATCGAAAAAAAAGGATGGTGTCAAAGGATCGTTTAAACAGTTGAAAGTGATTGTGTATTCTTCAGCAAAATTGATGCAAAATGCACTCAAAAACTTTATTGTTTCTGGTCCAAGTAATACTTTTCTGGAGGTGTGATGGATTTTGTTTAATAATCTTGCTGCAGATTAGTGTGGCTGCTGTTTTGATAAATTTCTTCTAGTCGAATTATCATAATTGTCGAAGAATTGTCCAGGTTATTCGTTTAATCATTACGTCTTTTCACATTGTCTGCCCATAATACATAAAATATTAGAGTTTAAAGATTTCCAAAAGCGGCCATATTGGATTTATACTAATGATTGGACTATGGCATTATGACGTCACATTGACGTAATTTGGCAATGTTTTTTTTCTGATGCTTTGGTAGCACTTTCCAACCTTCCCGCAATACATTTACACCCTTGAACTCAACCATTCCCGATATATTGCAGTTTTAAGGTTCCTATGGCAGCCATATTGGATTTATAACAATTGTTGGACGTATGAAGTTATGACGGAACAGGGACGTTATAGATTATGCTTTTTTATACGCCCACATTGAAATCTGGTCGTATATAGTTGTCGCTCCCGTCCGTCCCGTCGATCCGGCGTCCACAAGCAATTGTGGACGCTCTAGAGGCTAAAGTTAATATCGGATTGACTTTAAATTTATACACAGTATTTAAGGTCATGAGGCGAAGAAGCCTATTGATTTTCAGCGATTTCCGATAATTACTGCCAGAGTTACGGCCCTTGATCACTTTGAAAAATCTTGTGGACGCTCTAGAGGCTAAAGTTAATATCCGATTGACTTTAAATTTATACATAGTGTTTAAGGTCATGAGACGAAGAAACCTATTGATTTTCAGTGATTTCCGATAATTACTGTCAGAGTTATGGCCCTTGATCACTTAAAAAAAAATCTTGTCAAAGTTATAGGTCAAAGTTAATATCCGATTGACTTTAAATTTATACACAGTGTTTAAGGTCATGAGACGAAGAAGCCTATTGATTTTCAACAATTTTCGATAATTACTGCCCGAGTTATGGCCCTTGATCACTTCAAAAAATCTTGTCGACGCTCTAGAGGTCAAAGTTAATATCCGATTGACTTTAAATTTATACACAGCGTTTAAGGTCATGAGACAAAGAAGCCTATTGATTTTCAACAATTTTCGAAAATTACTGCCCGAGTTATTGCCTTTGATCACTTCAAAAAATCTTGTAGACGCTCTAGAGGTCAAAGTTAATATCCGATTGACTTTAAATTTATACACAGTGTTTAAGGTCATGAGACGAAGAAGCCTATTGATTTTCAACAATTTTCGAAAATTACTGCCTGAAATGTGAAATGTGGTTGTATATTGTTGTCGCCCACGTCCGTCCGGTCGGCGTTCAGGCTAAAGTTAATATCCGATTGACTTTAGATTTTTACACAGTGTTTAAGGTCATGAGACAAAGAAGCCTATTGATTTTCAGCAATTTCCGATAATTACTGCCAAAGTTATGGCCCTTGATCACTTCAAAAAATTTTGTGGACACTCTAGAGGACAAAGTTAATATCCGATTGACTTTAAATTTATAAACAATGTTTAAGGTCTTGAGACGAAGAAGCCTATTGATTTTCAACGATTTTCGATAATTACTGCCTGAGTTATGGCCCTTGATCACTTTGAAAAATCTTGTGGACGTTCTAGAGGCTAAAGTTAAAATCCAATTGACTTTAAATTTATACACAGTGTTTAAGGTCATGAGACGAAGAAT